TAAAAAAAAAATAAAAAAATAAAAAAAAACAAAACTTCCAAACAACGATTTTATACATGTGTATGTGTATGTGTGTGTGTATGTGTGTGTGTGTTTGACTACACATGGGAGTGGAGAGGGGTGTTTGACAGTATTCTAAAGTGTTCTTACTTCCTCCTCAGCCTCAAGTCTCAGATGATCTCACTGATCATCCTCTGAGAATGAAATTGTAAAACCACCATCTCAGTAAAGGCTGTGATAGCAAAATACCACAGACTGGGAGCTTCAATAACAGAATTCTTTTTTCTCAGACTTCTGGAGTCTAGAAGTCCAAGATCAAGGTCCTGTCCCACTGGGTTCCTGTCCAAGGCCACTTCCTGGCTTGTAGATGACCAGCTTCCCTGTAATGTCCTCACATGATGGGGAAAGAAATCTCGGAGGCATCTTCAATAAATAAATCCTCATCCCCTTTGGAAATAAATACATCACTTCTATTGGATCAGGGTCCCAAACTTATGATCTCATTTAACCTAAATCACCTCTTAAAGGCCATATCTCCACTACAGTTGCATGGTGGAGATGGGGGCTAGAACTGCAACATGTGAATTGTAGATGGCTCAATTCAGTCCATAGCAACCATTCTTCGTCCATCAAAGCCCAGATGTAAAAAGTCACATAAAGGAGATAATGTAAATACCAGTTCACCCTCATAAGGGCGCCAGCATGACAAAAAGTGATAATATATAATCAATGAAACTGTGTGTCAATCAGAAAAAGAGGGACCATGCAAAGAAGCCTGGGTAAAAGTTTAGATGTACTCAGTGGGAAGAGAGAGCCTCTGCCACAGAACTTTGAGAGTCCGAACTGTGTTAGCTATCTGGGTCACCTGTAAAGCATAAGGAAGGTGACGCTGAGATGGGGTGTGAGGATGTCCCATTCTCATCATCAGCTCAATCCTCATTGTGAGACAAATTGCACTAAATGCCATTCACAGAACCCATCCACCCTCCTTGCACAGATTCACTTGCACCAGCCTCCTGACTCTAAAGTGACTTCTCATAAAGACTGGCACTGGGGAAACATGTCCAGGCCCTGAGACAACCAATTAATAAAGTTGACTTTGGTTACAATTTGACTTCCAAAGGACCTTCACAGCAATAAAGAAGGAGCTGTTTACATCAAAAGGAACCTTAGTGACTACCCAGTATTTCATTCTCATTGCAAATTACTTGTGATAGCTAGTGGTAGAGTGGTGTCATGACCGATTGGTTAGTATGAGTCAGTCCTCAAAGCAGCTGTCCACTAGACAGTTGACCCAGGTCTTGGAGCAGAGTGATCTTCTCAAAGTCAGTGATGCCCTTACCCAACATCACCCTTGCCCAGCACCAATTCACTTCCTCTCCATGTGGTCAGCCCTTCCTCTCTCTACCACTTTCTACACAAAGACTGAGGCTAGTGTTGAGTGACAGGAAAAGCAGCATGCTGTGAAAACGAAAGCAGGTGAGGCTACTGTTTGCAGAGTTGGGCAAAGCACCAGAGAAAAGGAAGAGGTTACCTTGGCCTGGGAGGATGGAAGGGATTTCTGTAAGGGAAGATGAAGGGTGAAAAGGAGGAAAGAGCAGATGGGAGATGGATAAACGAAGGCTCTATAAAGTGTGAAAAGAGAGGAAAGAAGAACACTCCCCCTGTTCACAGGACTTGGGATTGAACAAAACATTGTGACAACAAAGTTGCTGAGAAACGATTGTCTGTATCTGGGGGAACCCTTCAGAGAAGTGTCAATTGTTTTAACAGAAAATTATGTCAAGGTTTCTGGGGGATATACAGACAATAAAAATCTGGGGATCAAGAGGGAGGTCTGGCAGGGTCCTCTTCAGCCACCATATCATTTCTCCTAAGTCTGCTTTCTCCATTTAATGGCTGGTTTGAACCCCTGCACTGGCAACTTGAGGCTGCACCTCTCTTGTACACCCCGATATCCCATCTCCCTTTCACTGCATCTCCACTTTCCTACTTGGTCTCCTCATTCCATTCCCCCATAACTATAAACCAATATTTCACTTCTTGTGCCGACACTGGCAGGACTGGAGAATAACTGTGGAATTCAGACATGACTGATAATCGAGGTCCTATCCCATCGATGTAGGTTCAACCTGGCACCAAACCAGCACTGGCACAAAACAAGTGCGACAACTCTCTAATGGGTCCCTCAGACCACAGATGTCCTTTGCCTCATCCCCTCTGCAAAGCTGCAAACAAAATAAGTTACACCAAGGATATTTGGCAAGCCTCCGAGTGTCCTTGCTGTACACCAGACTGGTCACATGCCAACCCCTTCCTTCCTCCTTCTTTCTTCCCCCATTCCATTAAAGTTGTAGAAAGCCTTAGGCTATTCATGAGAAACAGATGTGCAGATCCAAGATACAGACTAACTGACTTCAAGACTCTCAGATGGCATGCATTCAGCAGGACTTCTGTATTTTAAAAAGCAGGAAAAAAAATAATATTTTAGATTAGCATCAAGCTTGGGGTACGGCAGCTACACCTGCCTAAACTTCTTTGTAAGTTCACTTACCATCATATTAAAGGAGATTTCATTTCTAAATGAAAATTTATATATTAACAAAAGGTTGATTCAATTAAATCCTAGAGAAAATTCATGGGAAAAACACTAACAAAAATTCTATTCATGTGAGGATACATATTGCCATGATTAGTGTTTACATTAAACAAGTGCTGGTTGAGCTCAGACTGCCTGTTAGGTATGAAGCTAAACCTTGGATACAGAAGGCAAATTAGAGGATTCTCTCCTGGCCATGCCAGTTCTCCGCACTAACCCATCCTAGTAGAGAAGATAATTAGGGGTGTAGTGCTTCTCTACCAGTTGATAAACTCTGGATCCTCAGGTAGTGGGAGAGGCCCACACAGTATAAACAGCAGTGGAGAGAGAAGCGGGGGAGGAGGGGAGGATGAACAGAGCTGTACACTTGACTGCAAGTAATCCTAGGGGTGATTAGCTGCAGCTCAGTTCCTCCATCCTCTGCAGAAAAAAAAAATGAAACCAACAGATAAATGACACTTGAATGATGAGAACCTCAATCTTAGGTAAGATAATTGATATTAGTCTCTATCTCTTATCTCCTATAACTGTAGAAGGGAAGTAAAAGATTCTTTTTTAAGAATGATACTTTTTTTTAAAAAAAAATGGCCAAATTAAAACATAAAAATCAAATGATCCAGAATAAACTATTCTTGAAGGACTCTTCTTATTTCAGGATTTCTGTATTTAGCCTGTGAGCAAACAGCCAACACCCACTAACCATCCTTCCTCTATCCCTTCCAGAAAGCTTCCTAAGAAGTCTCTTTACCAGATAGGACAGAATGCTCACCATGGCCAAAAGCACCCAGCCACACATCAGGTCAGTGTTGGTCACATTTCCTTGCTTGGCTAATGTGCTATCCCTCTGCCAGCCTGGACACTGCCTCAACATGATATGTGTCCATCCCCCACACATTGATTCCCCTCCACTCTACTAAGCTGCTAGGGGATCAGACTTAGAAGCTTTGCAAGAATAGCTCTAATATCTGATTGCCTCATGCAGTGTGGTACAAGGCTGTCTCCCCAAAGCTCATAGCTTGAGCACAGTCACCTTCTTACCCATGTCCACTCCCAAGCTCTCCATTTATAGCACCTAGTCTAGAGCAGCATTCAAATACCTACACATACTCAAACAAAGGGGAAAACAGTTCCACAGTGCTCAGTTTGATTGCAGTTAATTTAAAAATTCTAACTGGAAACTTAAGCATATCAAAGCCAAGAAGTCCACTTATTTTTGCTTATTGGGTAATAAGTAAAAAGATAATGAAGATTAATTTCAGTATAGAGTTAAACATGTTACCTCACCATACTGAAATAATTTAGTAATTCGAAAACTTTGAATTTTGTTTAGTGGAAACACATAATTTAAATTTTAATACAAGAGTAAGTTTTACAAAAAAGATTTCATAAAGGTTAATGTTCAAGAAAATACAGTTAAGTAATTTACTGAGTAGTGGTACCCTAACATAGTAACGTATCCAAAAGAATACAGCCACACAATCTTCTGAGCCTTCATGATTCAATTACCCACCCCCCAGAAAGACCTAAATAAATTTAATAATCAACAGGCTTTTATTTGAATAATAAACCCCAAATCCCAGTTAACTAATTTTTTCTATTCAATTCTAATAGTAACCTGGAATAGAGAAACAGTTAACTTTCTTACTTTGACACTGAAACATACTTTACTGCCATTACTGCAGGAATTTTAAAAAATAAAAACTTCTGATTACATTCATTATTCAAATCATGTTTTGGTAACTGGATGGTGATAAAACTTAAAGTTTTAAGAAATACTAGCTTTGTCTCATAATTACATCATAGAAATACTAGCTTTGTCTCATAATTACATTTAACTGACTAACCTTGTTGAAATACTAAAGCTGAATCACTTATTTCTTAATTTATTTTTAGAGAATGCAAGCAAAGCTGCTCAGAGGTGTATATACACATACTTACATATCCTCACACATAGAAGGAAGACCCAACCCTGTCAAAGTCAAAGGGAGACACACATTCATAAATTCCTTAGGCACACTAATGTACATGATTTGTCTATTAAAAAAGAGACAGACTAACTGACAGAGACATTTATACAAAAAGTTAAATGGAAGTTATTGTCCTCATTTCTTTGCCAGGGATTGGAAAAATAAAAACTCATTCAATAGAGCATTTAATGTCTTAAAATGTCTTAGAGAGGCTTTTTTGTAACAGTTTTTAAATACTTAGAGGTCAACTCGAAACTAATGGGAACCCTGGGTGCAATCGATATTACATTAATTTGAATTCTTGTAAATGACATTCTCCTTATCCAAGCTAACCACAAAAAAATGACCCCTGACCAAATTTTCCAAGGGCACAGAGTACATTTTAAAAAGGAAAAGAAGGAAATGAAACTGGAAAGTGCAAGCCCTAGTCTCACCTCAGGCTCTTCTTGTGCATCCACTCTAAGAGCAGGTTTCTGGAACTCAAAGATGCCCTGGCTGGAGGCCCGATGGTCCTCAGCAGGAGAGGAGTAAACCTCCTCTGAGTCTGTTTCCACCACATGGAGATGGCTTGCTTCTTCCTGGCTCCAGTCCAGTTCTTCTTCAGACTGTTTCAAAGAGCTGCTACTACTTTTGGGAATGATCCCTGCAGTGGACAGGCTGCTGGGAACCGAGGTGTAGGACGACTGGGGACCTGAGTAGGGTCGACCCTCTGGAACCAAGTCCTCAGCCTCTAGGAGGTCAGGAACAGAGAGACTGAGCCTGCGGTCCAAATGGTGGCTTGCCCTTAAGTCTAAGGGCTTGTTTGCGTTCTTCTTTACCTTCTTCTTGCTCAAATTGATTAGCAATGGCCTGGTCCGCTGTTTTAATGAGCCCCAGACAGATGGTTTATCCAGATCCATGGTTGCATGAAGAACAAAAGAATTCACTCTTCAAAAGAGTGTGCCTCTATTGAAAACAACTTCGGTGACTCCTATAAAACAGAACATAAAGAGAAAACATGAGCCTTCTCGGTGGGTTCAGGGCACATCAAGTGGGAAACGGCTCAGAAATCCCATGCTATCTTCTGAATGATCAAGATTCAAACATTCAATCATAACTTCTACAAATGCCAGGAAAAGCATTTTTCTTCTAATATTCTTTTTATTAGCATTTTATAGTTGTACATTGGAAATAGAAAGAACTTTTAAAAATAACTTTTTAAGATTTTTATCAGAGCCATGATAGAAAAGTTGGAAGCAGTGAATGAGAAAGTCAAGTTGATCCAAAAGAAAGCTTCCTAGGAAGACCACTGTTTATTCCCTTTCCTGAAAAAGCAAAGCTAAATACTAGAATAGTGCCAGGGGCAGTTCATCAGCATGATTAGGGGCAGGGGACTCCTTTTAAGTCAGGGTCAGCCAACAGCTTCCCTAATGGGCCACTTATTAAATATTTTTACACTTTGTGGACAGGTACTATGTGCTGCAACTTCTCACCTCTGCACTTGTGACCTCCAAGATGACATAAACATCACCTACATGAAAGAACAGGGCTGTGCTCTAATAAAACTTCATTGGTAAAAACAGGTAGCAGACTAGCAGTCTGGTCACCAGTGGTCATTTTAAACATGCCATCTTCCTCTCCAGAGTCAAGTATATGTTTTGAAGGACAAAATTGGATTTTTGCTCATACCAAATTGGATTCTGCCTAGCATCTTTAAATTATATAACAAAAAAAAAATGAGCGACTAGAGAGAAAAACATTTGTAAAAAAAAAAATGGGAGTTCTGTCTTCATCCATAACTGGCAAAACTTTTACACTGGAACCCTCACAAGAACAAGCCTCAGAGACTCAGTCTGAGGACATGAGGGGGGAGAAAAGTGATTCTCACCAACAATTGGATGTGAACAATAAAAAGGCTTCACAAATAAATATGCCATCACAAAGGGTGGTAAATGCTGCTATCCAAAATATGGCTTCAGAGATGACAGGTCAAATTTAGCAGAGATCAAATCAAAATCAAATTTGGAAAAATAACCCTTATTTTATGTGCCAAATGGCTCATCATAAATTGTTTCAATGTGAAAAGATCTGGCCAGGCCACTGGGACCTGCCCTATAATGACTTTGCCACATTTGGCTGAGAAAGAGAAGTCAGGAGCCTCCACAAAACAGATTTTTCTAAGATCAAGAACTCCATGTTTTTTGTTCGCCTATCCAACTGATTTCAGGAGAAGATATTGAATCATTGAAAAGAAAAGTCCACACATCAGGGTTCCTATGGCCTGGTGAAAGTCAGGACATTATTCTCTACAAGGACCATCAGTACAAGATGAACTCAAGTTCCTTCAGTGAGAACCATGCAATGCTGGAATCAAGGTATTGGGCTCTAGAGACCAATTCCAGGTTAGAATTCTTCTCTGCTTTGTTACATTCTACTGAGATGTTTGAGAGCAAGTAACCGCACTAAGGCCAAGTTTTATCACCTATAGCTTGAGAATTAGATTACCTAGTTTACAGATAGAACTATAAGCATAAATCATAGTATCTGCTGAATTAACATGTTCAGTCAAGGAAAGCTATTTTTATCATTATTGCTATTGTCATTATGCCTACTTTCGATAACTTAGTCAAGTTACGTAAGAGCTCTATATCTCATTATTGTTCCTACTTCATAGATTAACTTAATACTAAGTATTTCTGGGACTGTGGTAAGAACTGAATGAATTCGTTCAGCTAAGAACAGTGCCTATCATGAATAGTGTTTAATACAATTTTATTAACTACTCCATAGTGCATTATTCTGACTTTAAATATTCAAAATATTTTATAATCTTTTGCTGACATTGAAAAATTTATTCTAAACAGAAACTTGTATTTCACATTAGCAAAACACAAATACATTATCCAAGTCATGTACTGTACCTTGCAGATATGCTACGGTGCATGGTTCCTATGTTTACTTATAAATATTTTCCTTCAATTAGCATGCAACAGAGGTGGGAGATATAGCACACTACCTAACACAGGAGAGGACTTTGAGAAAGGAAAAAGCCAAGCCAACAGATATATCTGGTACATTCACCATGTGACAGGCACCATAAAGGTCCCAGGACACCCATCACAGCCTTGAGAAAAATATCCTAGGAATGAGAAACGAAAGAATACAAATAAAAGCTCTGAGCAAAAGAATTTATACCAATTCCAAGCTAATTTCAACCAGATAGTTTTTGACCAAAAGAAACATTATTCTGATCAACTAAAAATTGAAGGCAGAGGAAAAAACAACAATTTAAGTAACTAAAAGGTTGTAATGAAAGCAATGTATTAGAAATATAAAAAGGAGAGGGTAGCCAGTCACAGGTGGCAAGAACAATGGGACTAGGATTGCTTATAACACATGTGCTATGAAGTCTCTGACCACAAAGACAACAGCACATGGGTGGGATGAACAGAGTACACTTCAGGTGGACAAGGAGCAGTAGATGGCAACTTTGACGAGTGTAGCAATGCTCAAGACTCACTCATGTGACAGAATATGATGAAACACTGTGATGTGTAAAACAGTCAAGTAGAGGATTATGGAATTCAGACAAGTAATGAGAGTGAGAGTCAAAGACACAGGCAGGCACATAGATATCCCCCAGATTCAAATCCCACATGATTTCACAGAGATTGTCCCTGCACCTCCTGGCACAGTCTTATCAAGAATGTGTTTTCAAAATGCTTATTCCTGACCTCCACCAAATAAAGTGAGCCCAAGTCCCAAGAATTTCCCTGATGAATACTGCACAGACTCAAGGTTACCTATCCAACTTCCAGAGATGCTTACATTCCCCTTCAGAGGAAATGAGGGAAAACTGATTATTTTATGGAAAGGCTGAGAAGAAATAACCTCTCATACAATGGAGAGGTTTTGAATCTCCAAGAAACAACAACAACAACAACAAAAAAAAATAATGTGATGGAAAACAGAAAAGGTTGAAATGAACAAAAAGCATCTCTGAAGAATGCGCTCTCTGTGTGAAAACATTGATTTTCCATGTAAATGGTCCCAGTGAAATACATAGTCTCCATCTCTTTTGGGGGATCAGGGGGAATTGGTAGAAATGGATACAATATTGGAACATTGAAACATTTTCAAGAGCTAGTTCAGGTAGAAGCAGGGATGTGCTTAGGATCACTGGATGCTAGAGACAACAGTTTCATCATCTTAATTTAATAAATATATATTATATATATATTTTTTATTTTTAAAATCACCTCAAAGGAAAATAGGCATTTCTTCCCTTTCATGTATACTTTTGTAACTTTAGCACACATAGAGATTTGTTTTATAACCATCACAATAAGAAGGATCTTCCCCTTAGAGTTATACCCACCTCAGAACCCCCATCCAATAATAATTGATCTCTTCCTCATCATTATAATTCAATCTTTTTGAAAATGTTTTATAAATAGAATAATAAAAAAAACATAGTTTTTTTGCTCAACATAAGACCTTTGAGAATCACACAAGTTGTTGCAGGAGTCAGTCATTAATGAATATTCTTCACTGCTGAGAGTATTCCATGGTCTGAGTGTATCAGAATTTATCTATTACACCTTAATGGACATATGAGTGGTTTCCAGTTTTGAGCTCCTAAAAATAAAACAGCTGTAGAGTTCAGATGTGTAATTTTCACTTTTCTAAGGGGTGTGATAATGGGAACCTTTTTATGTATTTATTTGCTATTTTTATGTGTAGTTTAGCAAACTACAAGACTTTTACCCAATTTTTTAAATTGGGCTGCTCGCTTTCTTTTTACTGATATATTTTGGGTACAAGGCCTTCCTTGAACACATAACTTGTAAATATTTACCATTTTATAGATTGACTTTCTTTTATTTTAATGATGTCTTATGATACAATTTTGGTTTTTAATTTTCAGTTTTCAAGCTTGATGAAGGTTAGCAGATACTATTTTTTATTTTATGGAAAATACTTTCTGGGTCAGTCATGTCTCCAAACTTATTGTTTAACTCCAGTTAACAAAAGTTTCTCTCATTTTCAACTAATAATTTTATAGTTGTACCTTTTACATTGAGATTTATGATCTATTTTGTGGGAGTTTCTACATAAGGTTTATGGTTTCATCAAAGTTCCTCTTTAACATATGGATGGCAATTTTTTTCTAATATCGTTGCTTCATTTTTCCACTGAATTAATCTGCATTATCCTGAACATCAAATGCCACATTCATGTGGGCGCGTTCTTTGGGTCTATTCTGTTCTAGGAATCCATGTGGCTATCAGTTTTTCAGTGCTACCTTGTTTTGATTACTGTGACATGCTAGTCTTAAAATCAGGAAGTGCAACTCTTCTAAATTCATTATCTCCCTACCTTACTTATCTACTCTAGTTCTTCTGTTCTTCTGTATAAATTTTAGAATAATTTCATCTATATATGCCAAAGAAAATCCTGCTAGATTTCTATCGCATTGTATTAACCTACAGATGAGTTTGGGAAGTACTGACATGTTTACTAGGTTAAGTCTTCCAATATAAGTATATTGTATTGCTATATATTTAGATCTCCTTTGGTTTTTTCATCAGTATATTCTGGAGTGAGCTTACATATCCAGTATGTTTTATTAGACTTACAAGTATTTCATTTTTGTTGAAATGAGAGCATATATTTTTCATTATTATTTTCAATTGTACAATGCTAATGTAGAGAAATAAAATTGAATTCTGTGTGCTGACCTTGAATTCTTTTTTAAAAAATATTTTGTTGTTGTAGATATATGCAATATCTTTTTTATTTATTTATTTTCATGTGGGGCTGAGGATGGAACTCAGTGCCTCACACATGCTAGATAAATACCCTACCACTGAGCTACAACCCCAGCCCATGACCTTGAATTTTTTTTAACTTGCTAAATATACTTAGTTTTATAATTTTTATTAGATTCCTTTGGCTATTCTATCTTGAAAAAATCATGTTTTCTGTAAA